AACCTAAAACGTATTGAGAGGATGAGATCTGCATACATGCAGAACTGGTGGTGTCGAAGTCCACGTTCTGCGAAGGTAATGTCGTAAATTGGTGGCGATGCGAATATTGCTGTCTGTAATTCAATTTTATAAAATCCGGTTGACTGCAGGAGCGTCCCGAGTGCGGAAATCTCGAAGAATATTAACCCCTCGGAGGACGAAAATTTGAAACCAAATTCGAAACGCGCGCGCCAAATTCGAATTATTAGTACAAGTAATAACTTTATCATTAGTAGCGGCAGCTGCGATAGAAGTATTAATATAAGCAGAAAAGTAGTATTTGTTGTACTAGAATGAGTAATACTGGTAGTGCGAATAGTACTACTAGTCGTAGTAGTATTGGCAGTGGTAGTTGTATTAGTAGTATAAGTAATACCAATAGCAGGGTTAGAAGGAGTAGCATTATTAGTGGTATTAGTCATAGTAGAAGAACTATACGTAGCAGTGGTAGTATTAGTCGTAGAAGAGGTAGTAGAAGCGGTAGCGGTTAAATTAGTAGTAGAAGCAATTGCAGCGGTATAATTATTGGGAGTGATTTTGGTATTTGTAGTAGTAGCATTAGAAGTAATAGAATTATTAGTATAGTAAAATTGGTAGGAGTTGTGTTGGAAATATTAGTAACACAGGACTTAATAGTAACAGTAGTAGCAGCAATAGAATTAGTAGTTTAATAATTGTAGTAATACTATAAGTAGTAATTGTTGTTGTTGTTGTTGTACTAGTAGTCGATATGTTAGCAGGTGTGGTGGCAATATTAGAAGCAGTAATAGTATTCCTAGTATTAGTAGTAGTTGTTGACTTATTAACAATATGATCAGAGTTGGCAGTGATAGCAGTGGGTGTAACTTAAATAGAAATATTAGCAAATGTATGAGTGCTAGTGGTGATAACATATCAGTATCAGTATCAGCTTATTAAGGGAAATATAGGCAAGCGCCTTTGAACTCCCTATTGGTTACAAGTCGTCGGAGAAAAACATGGATAAATGTGAAGGTGAAAAAGGGATTTTGTACATACTCGCTGACAGCTGACAGGTAGTCGAAAAAAAGTAATCATTAACGGTTACTCACTAATTACAAGTAGTATAAACACGTATAATATGGTACAGGGTTATGTGAGTGGATGTGAGGGTGGTAATTGGGAAGCTTGATGCATGTCAAGTCTACACTTGAAGGAATTCACACAGGGGAGGTTACAACATCGGTAGGCAGGGCATTCCACGCTGCAACCACTCGGTTACTGAAAAAGAACTTCCGTCCATTGATTCTTGATTTCCCTGCGCGTAGTTTTAGGGGATGACCGCGCAATGTGGACGTGTTAGCTTGGGTGAAATAATCAGTGGGATCTAAACAACAGTACAGGCCGTTGATGATGCGAAATGTTAGTATGAAGTCACCACGTAATTGCCTGTAGGAAAGGGAAACCGGCTGAGGATTGACAATCTGGTTTCATAGGGCAGTGCTCCCAGACCTTGTGTCATTTTGGTCGCCCGTCTCTGGACCTTCTCCAAGACGGAATTATCCTTTGCAGTCCGGGGTCTCCACGCCTGTATGGCGTATTCTAGATGAGGTCGCACGAAGGTGCCAAATATTTTTGAAAAACAGTCAGGGTCAAATCCCATAAATGCTCGCCTAATGAGTTGCAATGTGGCCGTAGCCGATTTAGCCGCCTTCGCGCAGTGCAGTGTTGGTTTGAGTAAATATGTAATTCATACACCCAGGTCCTTCGGACTGTCAACCTGTTGCAGTGGTGTGCCGTGCAGAAAGTAGGTCCTGGGGCTGGGGGCTCTGAAGCCGCCGAGTTGAAGAAAGTTACACTTGCTTATATTGAAGGGCATAAGCCAGCGCTTCGACCAGTCTTCGAGCCTGTTCTGGTTTGCTTGCAGGTGGTCTGCGTCTGCCGCATTGTGAACAGCCTTCCACAATTTAATGTCGTCGGCAAACAGGATGGCACCACAGTCTAGGTCCTTGACGCAGTCATTTATGAAAACGAGAAATAACGTGGAACCTAAGACTGAGCCCCGTGGGACGCCACTTACCACGCTTACATCTGAGGACTGTTGACGCCCGACCTGCACTCTTTGGGACCGTCCAGCCAAAAAGCTCTGGATCCATACAAGAAGGCGTCCACGAATTCCAGTGTTGCGCAGTTTGTGCAAGAGACGTTGGTGAGGAACGCTGTCGAAGGCCTTTTTGGAGTCGATGTAGATGGCGTGCACCACATTGCCTTCATCACGTGCTTTGGTCCAGCGTTCAAGCGTAAAGAGCAGATTCGTGAGGCAGGACCTATCACTTCGAAAGCCGTGTTGGGCATCCGAAAGGAGATGGTGCTGCTCGAGGAGCTGCACCAAGGCCTTCTTAATGATATTCTCCATGATTTTGCAACAGATGGAGGTAAGACTCACTGGCCTGTAATTATTCGCAGACGCACAACTTCCGCTCTTAAAAAGCGGAATGATGGTAGCGGACTTCCAGCCAGAGGGCAGGCATCCAGTAACGAATGACGTTTGAAAGATCAAGGCTAACGGCTTGGACATTTCGGGAGCTAACTCCTTCAGCAGCTTGGCCGGGATTGCATCGGGACCTGGGGAGGTCGACTCTTTTAGGTTTAGTAACTCATTCCGAACAATCGTTTCGATGAAGAAGACGGCTTCGAGGATAGGTGTTTCTTCGACTTCATAAGCTGGTGAGGAAAAAGCAGGTTCACATGTCATGACTCATCGGAAGAACTGAGAGAGATGTTCAGCCTTATCCCTGTCGTCGGAGATTTCCACACCCTCAGCCGTTCGCAGCAGTGGGACAGGATTTTTGTTC